CTCTATTTGGAGATGGAAACTTTTTTATTTTTATGTTTTTTTTAAATAATTTTCAATCTTTTTTTTTGAACTCTAATGACCTTTTTACTTTTTTTTTTTTTTTAAGTTTATTTACTTAAGTAATCTCTACACCCAAGGTGGGGCTCGAACTCATGACCTCGAGACCAAGAGTTGCATGCTCTTCCAACTGAGCCAGCCAGGTGCCCCAGAGACAGAGCCTTTAAATAGGTAAGTAAGGTAAAATGGAGTCATTGGGGTGAGCTCTAATCCAATGACTGGTGTCCTTATGAGAAGAGGAGACTGGGACACAGACACTCATGGGGGCAGCCGCGTGAGGACCTGGGGAGAAGGCGGCCATCTACAGGTCAAGGAGAGAGGCCTCAGAAGAAACCAACTCCCCTGATACCTTGATCTTGGACTTCTAGCCTGCAGAGTTGTCAGAAAATTAAGTTCCGTTGTTTAATCCCCACCCCCTTTCTGTGGTCCTTTGTCATGGCAGCCCCATCGGATTCATACAGGACCTATCACAGGCCCATTACCGGGGGCCTCCCATTTAGACCGAATGACTTCTTTGTTGTTCAAGGCATCCCTTGTAAATTTTAAAAATATGCCTCAGCTTTCATAACCCTGTATTGGCATGAGGTCATTCATTCATATGCCAGAAACCTCTCCAACTGGAAAGTGGCAGGGGCCTCCCAATCTTTGTGGGTTTCTTCCCTCCGCCTGGGGCGCCCCTGTCCCTTCTCAGCTGGTCTTCTCTTCTCCTGAGGTCCGCGGGAAGTGCTGCTCCTTGCGGGTCCTTCCCTGCCCACCGCCCACACAGCAGGGGCCTCAGGAGTTGCTCCCAGATGTGCTGATGGGGGGCCGGGGGAGCCCCTGGGGCCGGGCTCCGTCTGCTGCAGGCGAGGGCCAGTGGCTGGCCTCTGGCAGGTGCCACATTCCCCTCCTATCTCTCATATGAGAAAATCAGCAGCAGCTTGGATTCTTTTTTTTTTTTTTTAAGATTTTTATTTATTTATTTGAGAGAGAGAGAGAAATCACAAGTGGGGGTGAGGGGCAGAGGGAGAGGGACAAGCAGACTCCTCGCTGAATAAGGAGCCCGCTGTGGGGCTCGATCCCAGGACCCTGATATCGTGACCTGAGCCAAAGACAGACACTTAACCAAGTGAGCCACCCATGCGCCCCCGCTTGGATTCTTTTTATTTCTTTTTATTTTTTCTTTTCTTTTCTTTTTTGAGAGAGAAAGAAATTCCAAATGTGGTGTGTGTGTGTGTGTGTGTGTGTGTGTATGAGGGGCAGAGAGGGAGAGAGAGAATCTCAAGTAGGCTCCATGCCCAGTGCAGAGCCGGGACGTGGGACTCAATCTCATGACCCTGAGATCGTGACCTGAGCCAAAATCAAGAGTCGGATGTTTCACCGACTGAGCCACCCCGGCGCCCCATTAAGAGCTTGGATCCTAATCAGTAATGGACTCAGTCCAAGGGACAGGCCTCTGGGTGCCCAGCAATCAACAACAGCTTCGCCTAAATAACCCTGGGTTATGTTTAGTTATATAATCATCAACTATCTATTTATAACTGGATATTTAGGAGGCTTTAAATCTTCCCCTTTAAAAGGAAAACAAAACAAAACAACCCTGTGTGTGTCAACAAGGCAGATGGATAACCTCAAAACCCTGGAGCGAACTGGAAATGCCGTGTAGACCACAAGAAGCGTCGTTCAACATATGTAGCTGCAGTTGGCAAAGATCAAAATGTGTGATGAGCCGCCGTGTTGGTCAGGACATCCCGAGGCCAGATGATCCAGGTGGGAAGTGGTGTCAGAACAGGAACGTTCGGGGCGCCTGGGTGGCTCAGTTGTTAAGTGTCTGCTTTCGGCTCAGGTCATGATCCCAGGGTCCTGGGATCGAGTCCTACATCGGGCTCCCTGCTTTGCGGGAAGCCTGCTTCTCCCTCTCCCACTCCCCCTGCTTGTGTCCCCTCTCTCACTGTGTCTCTCTCTGTCAAAAAAATAAATAAAATAAAATAAAAAGAACAGGAACGTTCATCACAGCACTGCATGTGACAGCAAAACGTTCACGATATGCTCTTGAGCTCTGTCACTAGGGGACGGGGTGGAGGACTAGTTAAATCCCCAAAGGTGCTCAAGAGACGTGGCTATCCAGAACTGTAAGCGGTCTCCTCCAGGAGACAAAGTAGGCCAAGTGACAGTTCGGGGACACAGATCTGATCGCATGCCACCCACTGCAAATCCTTTATGGTTCCCATTGTCATGCAGGTAGGGCATCTCCATGTCCCTCTACAATCTGTGCTCTGTGTCCCACAGTTCCCTAGGCTTCTGTCCCAGCCCTGGCCCCGCAGAGGGGCAGCTCTCTGTCTCCTGGTTTGAGCTCCTTGGGGGCAGGGACCCCGTTTGTTACGTGTAGCCCCTGCATCCAACCCCATGCTTGTTTGGTACACAGGAGGCCTTTTCTAACTTTGAGAAGCAAGGGGGAAGACAGGGAAGGATGGGGAAAGCCAACCTGGACCTGGGTGAGAATGGCAAGTGTGTCCCAGGCAGGGGAGTGGAGAGACCCTCGGGACACCCTAAAGCGCACAGAACCTTGGGGGGACGGGTTGAAGGGGTGACACAGGCCTGGGAGTCAAGGAGCCCAGTTCCTCCTGCCAGGCCTGGCACTGGAAGGTCCCCTCAGCTTTCTGAACCTCAGTTTCCCTGTTCAGTGTGAACAATCACTGTGTTGCAATGCAAATCAACGGAGGCAGTTCACGTGGCAGCATGCTGTGGATCCTAAACTGTTAAGCAAATGTTGGATCATTTTTTTAAATTATTATTATGAGAAGCATTTCAGGAAGCCTGGGATCAAATTGATGATGGGGGCTTTGTGAAGGAGGCTGGGGAGCTCAGACTTTCCTCTAGCTGCTGACAGAAGGTTCCAGAAGCTGGCAAGCAGAAGAGGGGTGCGGCCAGGACATCTGGACTGTCTCCTGCCCAGCTGTAGAGTTCAGGGACTGGCCTTTGTGTCCCACCCTGCCGACTGTCCCCCCTCCCAGCTCTGAACACAGAGGTCGAAGCTAGATACCACTTGTAACCATGGCCATCTGTGGGAAGGGCAGACTGGTGGCCTCCTGACAGCTGGCAGCACCTTCCCCCCGTGTCATCAGGGTTTTGGGCATCTGGGCTGTGGCCTGGAATGGGGCCTTGCAATCCAAGGGGAGGTGTCCGGGCAGGGCTGGGGCCACCTGTGCTGAAAGGGGGCTGATGGACCCTGGCAGTGGCTGTCCATTTCGTGGATACCTCGTTTTCTCTCCACAAAAGCAGGACTCCCGCACTGTGCTTGGCCTTATCTTGATCTTTATTCAAAACTAAAAGCTGCCTGCCGTGTGCGGTAGCTGCTGCGGGGGCCCACACCTCCTTCCAGCTCTGCTATCTCTGGTCTGGCCCTGGTCCCACTGCTGTCCTTCAGCTGAAGGAGGCCTGTCCCCTGGGCCCAGCTGCATGGGCCGGGCCTCTGATGCTCACACAAGGGGGCCTGGCATGGAGGCAGCCGTGTCGGCTTGGGCGCCAAGGCAGCTGGGCCTTCTGCAGCACCTGCCCTGCCCAGCTCACCACACGCGACAGCACCCAGGGGCTGTTGGCTTGACAGGATAGTGGGCTCCTGAGCCCCGCAAGAGAGCTGTGTGGGGCCAGGCATGAGGGATGATGCCAGAAGCTGGGAGGGCTACGTGCCCCTGGGTGCCTTGGCCCCTGTTCCCCTTGCCTCTCCTTGCTTCCCAAGCTACATAAGCGAGGCTCTTTATCTTGCACCTCAGGGTCTTTGCACATGCTGGTGTCCCTGCCAGAAATGTTGTCATCCCACACCAACAGCCTTGCTGGCCAGCTTGCCTTCATCCTTCGGGTTTATATTGGGCATTGCCTTGTAGAAGATGCCTTCCCAGATGTCCAGATCTACGTGAGCTGCCTTTGTGTGGTCCTCCTGCCTCAGCCCTCACTCACACTCATCAGAGAGTTTATCACCCAGGACTTGTCTAATGATTTTTCTGCCTCACCCACCAGACTGGAAGCACCATGAAAGTTCATCAGTATACTCCCAGGGCCAGCATGATGCCTGGCATATAGTGCTCGATATATTTTTGCAATATGGATGGATAGGTGTAAGAATGGATGATTGGCTGGACAGACAAAAGGCTGAGTGATGGCTGAAAGGACGGATGCATGTGTGGGTGGGTGGATGGGGGCAGATGGATGGGTGGATGGGTGGGGGCAGATGGGTGGGGGCAGGTGGGTGGATGGGTGGATGGATGGATGGATGGGTGGGTGGGTGGCTGGATGCATGGGTGGGTGGGTGGGTGGGGGGATGGGGGTAGTGGGTGGGGGAAAGGATGGAGGAAGGGGCAGGTGGGTGCAGGAGAGGATGGGTGAATGGGAAAGTGGTTGGAAGAAGTCATGCATATATGCATGCATGGGAAGATGTATCAATGAATATCTGGGGAATAGATGGATAAAAGAATATAGGAAATGAATTGTGCATACATGGAAGAATTAATGATGGATAATGCATGAGTGTGTGGTTGACTGGGTAGGTGGGTAAATAAGTGGATAACGAATGGGTAGATAATCAGTGCATGCATAATGGATGTTTGGAGGAATGGAGAATGGATGGATGGATGGATGGATGGATGGATGGATGGATGGATGGGTGGATGGGTGGATGGAAGGATACATGGATGGGTGGGTGAGTGGACTCCTCACTCACCTGACAGGCCTCTGGGACACATTGGGTGGGGTCTCTACATACAGTACATTGTGCTCAATGATCAGGGTGTCTGGGATCTACCTGCAGTAGAGACCTTCACAGACTTCCTGGTCCAGGAGTGGCACATGAGTCTGCTGGAGAGACTGCGGACGAGGAAGAAGCTGTGGAAGAAATGGAAGACAAAGAGTGACAGTGTCTTGCCTTGGCCACAACCAGAGAGAGCTGTTTGCATTCAGGGAGAGGTACCATGGACAGGGATGCGGGGCTGGTGAGGGAAGCTGAGGCTCAGGCTTGGGGGGGTGGATGGAGAGGGCAGGGGGCTGGGAAGGGCTTGGGGAGGAGTGGGGAAGAGCGTACCTGGGTTCAGGGTGGGGATGGGTGGAGGGATGTCCCCTCAGCCCCAGAGGTGGGCTCGTTTCCTTCAATTTCTCCCAGCCGGTCACCCAGCGGGAAGTGCTGTTGGGCAGCTGGGTGGAGGCCAGGGGATGGAAAGGGCTGGATCTTCCCAGAGAAGGCACATCCCCGACATCTGCCCCAGTAGCACAGCAACCGTGAGGGAGGGTGTGACGATCCCCCTCATGGCCTGCAAGTCGCTGGCAGTGCTGGGGGCATCCAGGTTCCTACAAGGGAGAGCTGTCCAGGTGGCGAGGCTGGACAAAGAGGGACCCAGTGCTCGCCAGTGTCTGCTAGACCAGGCTTCCTGGGGAGTGCGGGCCTGCCCCGTGCCCTCGGGAAGCTCCAGGCCAGGGAGGCAGGAGAGGAGCAGGACTCTCCAGTAGAAGGGCCCTCTGGCCTCATTGAGCCCCCTTCCACTTACACAGCAGGAAACTGAGGCCCAGAGAAGATCAGTGACTTGCCCAAGGTCACACAGCAAGCTGGGGCCAGAACCATCCACAACGAAGTTGCCTGATTCCTAATTCCAATATCCACCTAGACCTGGCCTTGTCCGATTTTTCTTTCCTTCTCGGAAGTGAGTGACTGCATAGGGAGACACAGCAAGACCACAAACTGCTTTCCAGGCTGATGATAGCGGACATCATTTCTGCCACCCAGAAAACCATAGAATGTAGTAGTCAAGAGTTTGGGCGCAGGAGCCTGACTGACTGGGTTTGGATTCCAGCTCTGCCATGAATGGCTGTGTGACCTTGGACAAGTGACTTAACCTCTCTGGTCTGTTTCTTCCTCTGTAAAATGGGAGTAATGTAGTACCTCCCTCGTAGGTTGTGTTACGCAGGGTAAGTTCATGCACATAGGGTGTGTGGGACAACGCTCAGGAGTAGGAGTCTATGGCTTGTGTGCATGCACATGGGAGTAAGTGTGAACTCATGTGTGAGTGTGCACAAGTAGGAGGGCCCTGGCAGGCATGCGAGTGTGTTTGTGCGTGAGTGTGTTAAGGAGCGAGTGTATGAGTGTGTGGATGTGCATGTGTGGTTGGGAGTCTAAGTATATACCCATGAGTGCTGGGGAATCTATACAGACAAGGGGCGGTGTGCACGGTGTGGGTAAGTGGGACTATGTTGACCGTGTATGTGTGTGAATTTGCACGGAAGGGCATGAGAGGGGGTGATTAGGTGAATGAGTGTGTGTGTGTGTGTGTGTGTGTGTGTAGCAGCTCCTGCCTGCATCAGGGGACCCAGAAGCCTTCCCAAACAGGGGCGCAGTCTAGGAGACTGTATTTTTGGCTCCTGGTTTTTCTGTAAGCGACTCTCTGCCCTCCCCTCTCCCCAGGCCAGAAGCTGAAACCAGAGGTCAGGAGGTCAGAGCTGGGCCACCGGGAGCTGGTCCCAAAGACAGGGAGGAGCCACCATGTTTGTTGGGTGAATGAATGAACAAACTCACTCCCTCTCCACAGCCCAAGCTCCTGAAACCCAGGACCACCCTCTTGCTCTGCTCTCTCTGAAGTCACCACTCAGCTCCCAGGAGCACCCCGGAGGCCTGTCTACCTTGTAGGGCCAGGCCTGGCTCAGTGTGACCTTTCCTGACCCTAGGAGTCCCTGGGGTGGGCTGGGGGCACTATGGGGGACCCACATGGGATCCTCACCCACTAGAAACCAAGGGGCGAGGCAGAGCAGAGTTTCTTCCTTTCCTTTCCACACACTGTGGTCCCTACACAGGCACACGGGGCCACCTGCTAGTGTCCCCTCCCCCTCCTGGGCAGGGCTTACCTGCAGTGCTCAGGAACTTTGACCTTGGGGAACTCTCTCTCCACATCAGAGCAGACACGCCCAAACAAGTGTTGCCCATAGCCCACGTGGAACAGACATTTTTTTGCCCTGAATTTTTTATTTTATTTATTTATTTTAAAGATTTTATTTATTTATTTGAGAGAGAGAGCAGGGGGGAGGGGTAGAGGGAGAGGGAGAAGCTGACTCCCCGCTGAGCTGGGTGCCCAGTGATGGGCTCGATCCCAGGACCCTGAGCCGAAGGCAGACGCTGAACTGACTGAGCCACCCAGGCGCCCCTGCCCTGAATTTTTGAAAGAGGATTTGTATAATCTTTACAGCGTTGAATTTGGTAAGAACAAATTACTTGTTAGTGTGTAGGACCACGTGACGACTATCCCAGAATCCAGCTCGGTGCTCAGCACTCAGCAGGTGCTCAGGAACCATTTCTTGGCTCAGTGGCGCTCGTGATTTGATTCTGACCTCACAGAGGATAAGCCGAGTTGATTTTACCCGTTGACATCACGTAGAGGGTAGCAGGTGCCAAACTCAGCAGGTATTATGTTTGATTTGACATTTTCTTCTTGTAGTTTGGAGAATCTCATGCTCCCGTTAGGTTTCAATCCTTCTCGGAGACGGTAGAAACATGCACAGGCCTACAGAGCCTCGTGGATAGAATGGGGCCATCCACACCTAACCCCCACAGTCGGTCTCCCTGGGCAAGGGGTGCCCCTCAGAGCCCCAGATACCAGCAGGGTCCTCTAAGAGCAGAGGGACGGAGGCCTGGACTTTCTCCAGGAGCGGGAGGCTCTCAGCCCCAGGATGCAATAAGTTTCCCCAGGCCTGTCGCTCTGCAGGGCCGGTTCCCACAGTAGCTCACAGCAAGCAGCTCTCTCGGTGCCTGGCCTGGGGGGGGGGGGCCCTAGCCTTTGTAGCCGGCCTCCCCGCCCACCTCCAGCCCCGTCCTTCTGATCCCCCATCCACACAGCAAGCCAGAGGGACCAGGGCCAGTTTCTTGGGTGCGTGACCAGTGCCATCCCGTTTCCAAGTGTGAAAGACCAGAGTGAGCCGTGAGCAATATCCAGCCCCGCCTGCTAGAGAAGGTCTCTACTGGATGGACTTCTCCGGGTGAATCCATCCCCCTGCCCCTCTGCATCCTAGCACCTGGGGCTTAAGAATAACTTCCCCTGGGCAAGTGGCTTTCTGTACGTACTTGTGACCCCCTCAGAGCTCAGAGGAGTGAAAGCAAACACCCAGGGCCCCTGGCTCATACAGGTCAGCTGGGAAGCAAGCCCAGAGCAGTCTGGCTCCAGAGCCTTGGCTGCTCGGAACCTATAACAACCAGGTACCTGACCATGAGCCACCTGACGGCCAGATCACGTCCAATCAGGAAAGGGGAGGCAGGCAGTCCCCGGAGGGGGGATGGCATCTGAGCTGGGCCTGCGAGGGTCTCTCCGGAGGGAGGAAGGGGGGCCCCTTATGCAGGCAGGGGGAACCCAGAGCCAAGGTGCAGAAGCAGGGAAGGGGGAGAGAGGGCAAAGCCCGGAGAGGAAGTTTCGGGCCCGCAGGTGCAGGCCAGGTTGTTTGGATTTTGATCTGATGGTTGTAGGGGAGCTATGGCCAGTGTTGGAGCAGCATGGAACAGCATGGAGCAGCTGTGCTGGGGGGGGGTGGGGTGGTGGACGCTGGCTGTGCGCTGGGCAGCAGATGGGAGGAGGCCAGTCAAGAGGCAGTCAGAAGGTCCAGAAGGGACGGTCACGAGCTTGAAGCCACGTGAAAGCCATGGGAAGGGGGAGCACCAGGGGTCACACAGCCAATGTCAGAGATGCCAGGGGGGCTGGGGACTCGGCTCCAGGAGGGAAGGCGCAGGACCACATGCAATAGGCCGGCATCCTGGGGCCCCGCATAGAGCGGGTGCTCAGTAAAATGTTCCTCCAGTGACGGAAGGGAGGCTCCCTGTCCCTCTCCAGGTCAGCTGGGGCGATGCTGTCCCCGTTTCCCACACCCCTCCTTTTGCACACCGTGCTCGTGCTCGGTGGCCCCGGAAGAACCCTGGCTGGACCAGTAGGGGCCGTGTCTGCCCACAGCTCCATCTCTGCCATGCACCCATATGGCTTCTCTCTCTCCATCCCTCCTCCCCCCTCCCTGTCCTTATCTTTCCCTTCCGTCTCCATGGCGACTCACCACCTCGGCTCTCGCCTGCATCCCAGCCTCTGCCAGGGATTCTGGGCCCAGCTCAGTCCCTCCCTCCTTCGGAGCCCTGGTTCCCGCAGTCCTGTCTCCTCCCCCTGGGGTGAGTCCAGAGGCAGCCTCCTCTTTCCCGACTGTCACATCTATTTTCCAGCTCTGACGAGTCCGGGTCGGCTCCTCTGGGGAGACCATCCCC